GAGGGTGCTGTCGTGTCGTCTTCCTCCGGCTGGTCACTGAACTCTCACACTACACAATAATAACCTACATGACAGAGTGAAAAGAAGGAAGCCTGTACAGAATACAAATATTCCAAAACATGCATCCTGTTTGCAACAAGGCACTAAAGTAATAATGCAAGAAATGAGGGAAAGCAATTAACTTTTTGTCCTGAATACCAAGTGTTATGTTTGGGGCAAATCTAATACAACACATTACTGAGTACCACTCTCCATATTTTCAAGTATAGTGGTGGCTGTGGAGCTAAGCACTGGCAAAATCCTAGAGGAAAACCTGGTTCAGTTTGCTTTCCACCAGACACTGGGAGATGAATTCATCTTTCAGCAGGACAATACCTTAAAACACAAGGCCAAATCTACACTGGAGTTTCTAACCAAGAAGACAGTGAATGTTCCTGGGTTACCGAGTTACAGTTTTGACTTAAATCTATGGCAAGACCTGAAAATGGCAATGTTTAACAACCAATTTGACAGAGTTTGAAGAATTTTGAAAAAAGAATTGTCCAATGTTGCACAATCCAGGTGTTGAAAGCTCGTAGGGACTTACCCAGAAAGACTCACAGCTGTAATCGCTGCCAAACGTGCTTCTACAAAGTATTGACTCAGGGGGTGTGAATACTTATGTAAATTAGATATCTCTGTATTTCATTTTCAATAAATTTGCCAAGATTTCTAAAAACATGTTTTCACTTTGTCATTATGGGTGAGAAAAATATGTATTTAATCCATTTTGAATTCAGGCTGTAACACAACAAATGTGGAATAAGTCATGGGGTCTGAATATTTTCCGAAGGCACTGTATTACCTCAATTACCTTGACTAACCCGTACCCCTGCACATTGACTCGGTACCGGTCCCCTTGTATATAGCCTTGTGATTGTTATTTTATTGTGTTACTATGGTTCTTTTAGTTCATTTAGCAAATTTGTCTTACTTACTTTTTTTTTATACTCTGCATTGTTGGTTAAGGGCTCGTAAGTACGCATTTCATGGTAAGGTCTACTACACCTGTTGTATTCGGCACATGTGACGAACACAATTTGATTTGATTTGAATCACATTAAATAAATAATTTTCAGAAATGACTTTGTCAAAGCAACAAAATTACTGGGGCTTTACAATGATGGTGAAACTTTGAGAAATGTTGGGATGAAGTGGGTTAAAATCCTCCTAGAAGTGACACAGGCTTGACGTCCCTCCGTCGAGTTTTGGCACTTTAGCAGGCCTTTATTTGTAATAAAAATTAGATTGATTGAATTCTCAATGTGGTCTAAATTAAAGGGCACTTCAATACCAGGCTTTTAAAATTCAATATTAGTGCGTAGTTTCTACCTAAAATATCAAAGGGATGCAAAAGGCTCTCTTTTCGTTGAACGACCCATTGTATTGTATTTTATTGTACCCTCTAAACATTTTCCACGGATCCCTTGGCCAAAATTTGTTAAATCTGTTATTAGTAATATTCATTAAGAAAAAAGAAAAAAAATGTCATAATTTTTTTTTTTTTATTGAGATCTGGCTAAGGACCCCCTGCATACTTCCGCTGCCCACTCTGAGAACCGCTGGCTTAGCTCACAGTTTAGCTAACCAAACCATCAGTCCTAGCTTGTTTTTACAGTGGGGGAAAAAAAGAATTTAGTCAGCCACCAATTGTGCAAGTTCTCCCACTTAAAAAGATGAGAGAGGCCTGTAATTTTCATCATAGGTACACGTCAACTATGACAGACAAATTGAGGAGAAAAAAAATCCTAAAAATCACATTGTAGGATTTTTTATGAATTTATTTGCAAATTATGGTGGAAAATGTGTATTTGGTCACCTACAAACAAGCAATATTTCTGGCTCTCACAGACCTGTAACTTCTTCTTTAAGAGGCTCCTCTGTCCTCCACTCGTTACCTGTATTAAATGGCACCTGTTTGAACTTGTTATCAGTATAAAAGACACCTGTCCACAACCTCAAACAGTCACACTCCAAACTCCACTATGGCCAAGACCAAAGAGCAGTCAAAGGACACCAGAAACAAAATTGTAGACCTGCACCAGGCTGGGAAGACTGAATCTGCAATAGGTAAGCAGCTTGTTTTGAAGAAATCAACTGTGAGCAATTATTAGGAAATGGAAGACATACAAGACCACTGATAATCTCCCTCGATCTGGGGCTCCACGCAAGATCTCACCCCGTGGGGTCAAAATGATCACAAGAACGGTGAGAAAAAATCCCAGAACCACACGGGGTACCTAGTGAATGACCTGCAGAGAGCTGGGACCAAAGTAACAAAGCCTACCATCAGTAACACACTATGCCGCCAGGGACTCAAATCCTGCAGTGCCAGACGTGTCCCCCTGCTTAAGCCAGTACATGTCCAGGCCCATCTGAAGTTTGCTAGAGTGCATTTGGATGATCCAGAAGAGGATTGGGAGAATGTCATATGGTCAGATGAAACCAAAATATAACTTTTTGGTAAAAACTCAACTTGTCGTGTTTGGAGGACAAAGAATGCTGAGTTGCATCCAAAGAACATCATACCTACTGTGAAGCATGGGGGTGGAAACATCATGCTTTGGGGCTGTTTTTCTGCAAAGGGACCAGGACGACTGATCTGTGTAAAGGAAAGAATGAATGAGGCCATGTATCGTGAGATTGAGTGAAAACCTCCTTCCATCAGCAAGGGCATTGAAGATGAAACGTGGCTGGGTCTTTCAGCATGACAATGATCCCAAACACACCGACCGGGCAACGAAGGAGTGGCTTCGTAAGAAGCATTTCAAGGTCCTGGAGTGGCCTAGCCAGTCTCCAGATCTCAACCCCATAGAAAATCTTTGGAGGGAGTTGAAAGTCTGTGTTGCCCAGCGACAGCCCCAAAACATCACTGCTCTAGAGGAGATCTGCATGGAGGAATGGGCCAAAATACCAGCAACAGTGTGTGAAATCCTTGTGAAGACTTACAGAAAACGTTTGACCTGTGTCATTGCCAACAAAGGGTATATAACAAAGTATTGAAAAACTTTTGTTATTAACCAAATACTTATTTTCCACCATAATTTGCAAATAAATTCATAAAAAATACTACAATGTGATTTTCAGGATTTTTTTTCTTCTTCTGTCTGTCATAGTTGACGTGTACCTATGATGAAAATGACAGGCCTCTCTCATCTTTTTAAGTGGGAGAACTTGCACAATTGGTGGCTGACTAAATACTTTTTTCCCCCACTGTATGACCCTTTCCTGCCTAAATGACTACTGACCCGTAGCACTGACGTCTGTAGCCATGAAGTGCTTTGAAAGGCTGGTCATGGCTCACATCAACACCATTATCCCAGAAACCCTAGACCCACTCCAATTTGCATACCGCCCCAACAGATCCACAGATGATGCAATCTCTATTGCACTCCACACTGCCCTTTCCCACCTGGACAAGAGGAACACCTACGTGAGAATGCTATTCATTGACTACATCTCAGCATTCAACACCATAGTGCCCTCAAAGATCATCACTAAGCTAAGGATCCTGGGACTAAACACCTCCCTCTGCAACTGGATCCTGGACTTCCTGACGGGCCGCCCCCAGGGGGTAAGGGTAGGTAACAACACATCTGCCACACTGATCCTCAACACAGGGGCCCCTCAGGGGTGCGTGCTCAGTCCCCTCCTGTACTCCCTGTTCATCCATGACTGCATGGCCAGGCACGACTCCAACACGATCATTAAGTTTGCCGACGACACAACAGTGGCCTGATCACCGACAACAATGAGACAGCCTATAGGGAGGAGGTCAGAGACCTAGCCGTGTGGTGCCAGGATAACAACCTCTCCCTCAACGTGACCAAGACAAAGGAGATGATCGTGGACTACAGGAAAAAAAAGAGGACTGAGCACGCCCCCATTCTCATCGATGGGGCTGTAGTGGAACAGGTTGAGAGCTTCAAGTTCCTTGGTGTCCACATCACCAACGAACTATCATGGTCCAAACACACCAAGACGTGAAGAGGGCACGACAAAGCCTATTCCCCCTCAGGAGACTGAAAAGATTTGGCATGGGTCCTCAGATCCTCAAAAAATTATACAGCTGCACCATCGAGAGCATCCTGACTGGTTGCATCACCGCCTGGTATGGCAACTGCTTGGCCTCCGACCGCAAGGCACTACAGAGGGTAGTGCGTACGGCCCAGGACATCACTGGGGCCAAGCTTCCTGCCATCCAGGACCTCTATACCAGGCGGTGTCAGAGGAAGGCCCTCAAAATTGTCACGGACTCCAGCCACCCTAGTCATAGACTGTTCTCCCTGCTACCGCACGGCAAGCGGTACCGGAGTGCCAAGTCTAGGTCCAAAAGACTTCTCAACAGCTTCTACCCCCAAGCCATAAGACTCATAAAAACAGCTAATCATGGCTACCCAGACTATTTGCACTGCCACCCACCCCCACCGCATATTTTTACGCTGCTGCTACTCTGTTAGTTATTTATGCAAAGTCACTTTAACTCTACCCACATGTACATATTACTTCAACTACCTCAACTAGCCAGTGCCCCCGCACATAGCCTCCCTACTGTTATTTTATTTTACTTCTGCTCTTTTTTTCTCAACACTTTTTTGTTGTTGTTTTATTTTACTTTTTTTATTAAAAATAAATGCACTGTTGGTTAAGAGCTGTAAGTAAGCATTTCACTGTAATGTCTGCACCTGTTGTATTCGGCGCATGTGGCCAATACAATTTGATTTGATTTAATGATTGTGTGTCAAATGTGTAGTTGAGATTATTCTGAAAGTTCAAAAGAGAGGCTGAATTTGCGGTGCAATCGGTACATACGTTGATGAAAAAGCTTTCACTTGTGGATTCAAATAAAGTAAGAAATAGGGCGAGAGTAGGCCTACTTCAACTCCAAGGTAGATGGCGACAGAGGTATTGTCTCTGTTTCACAGCATTCTGCTTAATATGAGAGCCAAGCGCCACCACCGACCAGGCAGCTGAGAGGCGAACAAGCATTGTCACCGGGCCAGTGGTACACGTAGCAAGGTAGCTGCAACGCAGCATACTAATTTACCGGCTTTTTCGTAAGTGTTTTTGAATACTTATGATACATTCTCATACTGTGCGGTGTTTCCGTTTGTTAAAATGAAAACCCAAAACATAATCTCTAATTTAACAGGCACAAAAACAGTCGGTAGCAAGCGAAACTTTAGCTAGCTAGCTAGCTGCGCGTTAGCTAGCTGGCTAATGTTGCTAATGAAACCATATGCTAGCTAACGACAGCCACTAGTAAAACGGGAAACGAACGAGATACTAGTTGTTGCTTGTTGTAAGGGCGTTTTTTTTGATAACACATAGCTGACTGCAATAACGAGCTTCTTCACAACTGGTGTTAATTTGTTATACAAAGTTAGCTGGGTGTCACAGGCGGTGCATCAGGGAAAACATTCCGTATAGCACTAGGAACTCGACAAGCAACTGGTGCTGTAACTACAGGTATACACCACTTGACTTGTTCCAGCCTGAATTTAAAATGTATTACATTTAATGTCAAAGTGGAATTATGTTTGTCGAAATGTAAAGGAGTAAAAATGTGCTTAACAAGTCACATAATAAGTTGCATGGACTCACTGTGTACAATAAGTGTCTAACATTATTTTTGAATTACTACTTAATCTCTGTACCCCGCACATATAATTATCTGTAAGGTCCCCTCAGTCGAGCAGTGAATTTCAAACACAGATTTAACTACAAAGACCAGGGAGGTTTTCCAATGCCTTGCAAAGAAGGGCACCTATTGGTAGATGGGTAAAAATAAGACGCAGACATTAAATATCCCTTTGAGCATGGTGAAGTTAATTACACTTTGGATGGTGTATCAATACACCCAGTCACTACAAAGATACAGGCATCCTTTCTAACTCCGTTGCCGGAGAGGAAGGATTTCACCATGAGGCTGTGATTGGAGAAAACCTGAGTATGGATCAACAACAATGTAGTTACTCCACAAAACGAACCTAAATGACAGTGACAATAAGGTAATACTGCAAAAAAATATGGCAAAGTAATTAACATTTAGTCCTGAATACAAAGTGTTATGTTTGGGGCAAATACAACACATTACTGAGTACCACTCTCCATATTTTCAAGCATAGTGGTGGCTGCATCATGTTATGCGTCTCCTGAGTGGCGCAGTGGTCTAAGGCACTGCATTGCAGTGCTAACTGTGCTACTAGAGATCCTGGTTCGAATCCAGGCTCTGTCGCAGCCGGCCGCGACCGGGAGACTCATGGGCGGCGCACAATTGGCCCAGCGTCGTCCAGGGTAGGGGAGGGAATGGCCGGTAGGGATGTAGCTCAGTTGATAGAGCATGGCGTTTGCAACGCCAGGGTTGTGGGTTCGATTCCCACGGGGGGGCAGTATAAAAAAAATATGTATTCACTAACTGTAAGTCGCTCTGGATAAGAGCGTCTGCTAAATGACTAAAATGTAAATGTAAAAAATGGGTATGCTTGTAATTGTTAAGTACTGGAGTTTTTCAGGATTAAAAAAAAAAAGAAACAGAATGGGGCTAAGCACAGGCAAATTCCTAGAGGAAAACCTGGTTCAGTCTGCTTTCCACCAGACACTGGGAGATTAAGTCCCCTGTCAGCAGTACAATAACCTAAAACAAGGCCATATCTACACCGGAGTTGCTTACCAAGAAGACTGTGAATGTTCCTTAGTGGCCGAGTAACAGTTTTGACTTAAATATACTTTAAAAAATCTATGGCAAGACCTAAAAATGGTTGTCTAGCAATGATCAACAACCAATTTGACAGCTTGAAGAATTTCTAAATAAATTATGGGCAAATGTTGCAAAATCCAGGTGTGGAAACCTCTTAGATTTACCCAGAAAGAATCACAGCCGTAATCGCTGCCAAAGGTCATTCTAAAAAACGATTGACTCGGGTGTGAATACTTATGTATTTCATTTTCAATAGATTTGCAAAAATATCTAAAAACATGTTATCACTTTATGGGGTATTGTCAAATCAAATCAAATCACATTTTATTGGTCACATGCGCCGAATACAACAGGTGCAGACATTACAGTGAAATGCTTACTTACAGCCCTTAACCAATAGTGCATTTATTTTTAACAAAGAAAGTAAAAATAAAACAACAAAAAGTGTTGAGGAAAAAAAGGGCAGAAGTAAAATAAAATAACAGTAGGGAGGCTATATATACAGGGGGGTACCGGTGCAGAGTCAATGTGCGGGGGCACCGGCTAGTTGAGGTAGTTGAAGTAATATGTACATGTGGGTAGAGTAAAAGTGACTATGCATAAATAATTAACAGAGTAGCAGCAGCGTAAAAAGGATGGGGTGGGGGGGCAGTGCAAATAGTCTGGGTAGCCATGATTAGCTGTTCAGGAGTCTTATGGCTTGGGGGTAGAAGCTGTTGAGAAGTCTTTTGGACCTAGACTTGGCACTCCGGTACCGCATGCCGTGCGGTAGCAGAGAGAACAGTCTATGACTAGGTTGGCTGGAGTCTTTGACAATTTTGAGGGCCTTCCTCTGACACCGCCTGGTATAGAGGTCCTGGATGGCAGGAAGCTTGGCCCCAGTGATGTACTGGGCCGTACGCACTACCCTCTGTAGTGCCTTGCGGTCGGAGGCCAAGCAGTTGCCATACCAGGTGGTGATGCAACAAGTCAGGATGCTCTCGATTTTACATTTACATTTTAGTCATTTAGCAGACGCTCTTATCCAGAGCGACTTACAGGAGCAATTAGGGTTAAGTGCCTTGCTCAAGGGCACAGACAGATTTTCCACCTAGTCGGCTCTGAGATTAGAACCAGCGACCTTTCGGTTACTGGCACAACGCTCTTACCCACTAAGATACCTGCCGCCTATTCCCTATATAGTGCACTACTCTAGACCAGGGTCCATGGGGCTATAGTCATAAGTAGTGCACTATATAGGGAATAGGGTGCCATTTTGGGATGCATCCTCAGTTAGGTGACAGTCCTACTCAACAACCATCCATTCAAACTAAACAGAATAAAAACATATCTCTACTATGGATGAAACATGATCTCTAAGCCAAGCAAATGACTGGAGAAATCCAATACAAGTCTCTCTAAGTTTATAATGCATATTTAGTATTGGCTGGTGGTCTCCTCCCTGCATTCATTCCATCAGCTACAAAAAATGAGCAGCAACAGAGATATGTAATACAACGAATGGAGTGCAACATTCAAGTCATGATTCCATTCAAACCCAATGATGCTTATGTTTGGAATACATTTGTGAGGCATTAAGTGTTGGTGAGTACATATTCTGCAGCGAGGGTGACTGCTACAGACAGGTTATAAACAATAAGAGGACATTGGCTACAGACTTGAGTATGGACTAACTGAATATTAAGATGTGTTTGTGTGTGCGGATGTGCATATTTCTGAGGCTACTGTCGTAAGTCTACACTTGGAATATTGATCTTCCTCAAAGTATTACAATTTAATGAAAAATGTACGTATTACATAACATGCAATGTCTCACATCCACTTCCTAGAATTGTTATTGAATGGCCAGTGTGGTTTTGGCGAATAGTGAGTTTTTTTCACTCTAATATACTACTCGTAAGCATTTTGACTTTGGCAAGTTGTTGTTTTACATTAGTAGTAGTACTTTGTAAACAAAGTACTAGATTATTTGTCAAGTACTAGACTGTTTGTCAAGTACTAGACTGTTTGCCAAGTACTAGACTATTTGATGTTAATCCAGCAAGTGACTGTCAAGCAGTTTGATGTCTGAACTTTGAAAAAGCAACAATTACACTTTATTTTACCGTCTGGTATTTACTTTGATATTACATGGTAACAGAGTAATTAGATGTTATTCATAAACACCTCTCAGTTTCTTGGGGACTCATTGTAACCATCTGGTACCAAATGCTATAGTACCAGATAATACCATGGCCAATTGTTACCATGTACCGTATTTGTCTATGATATATACCAGGCCATACCAACTCTGAAGGACTGCAAAATAAAACAAACTAACAAATCAGACAGGAAGCTAATCTGAATGATCCTAACTGGGGCAACCGAACCCAACAGCGGTGAAACTGATAAGCAATAAGATGAGAATGAGAGGACTGCTAAATGCTTGTGATATCTTCTCCTTTATCAATGTACCATTCCAGGAGCTAACAGTGCTAGCTACGCAAACCATCTGAGAGCCTATGGGGCACACGGGCCCCTGCCACAGCTGTTTAGAGCAGCCAACAGGCCACCATGCTCACATGGTGACACCAAGGAGCAGGTGTTGGGGGGGGGGGGGGGGGTGCATCAGTGTCCCCCATCGCTGGACGAAGGGCTTTCGGATCGCCCCTCTTTCAGGCTGGCAGGCTGCTTCTTCTGCTTGTGTTTGGACTTCCTCAGCATCCGCACCTTTGGGCCTGCTGCAGATATGATGATATTTCCAGGGGCCTGTATCCAGGGCTCTCCGTCCACCTGCACAGGGATGGGCTTGGTCACTGTGATACGCACGTAGTTACCCTGGGCGAGACGCATCCCAGAGCGCATGCCGCTCTGCACCTGGCCCATGTGCACTACCCCGGTCACCCCCACCACCTCCAGCATGCCATCGTCAATGCGGGGTTTCCCGTAGCGCGAGTCACCCTCTGATCCCCACAGGTCTGCCCCAAAGCCCCAGCTGGGGATGTTTAGGAAGATGAGGCCTTCTATGCTGGGCAGTTCTATGTCTTGTTTGTCCACCTGCAGTTTGAGGTCCTTGTGAAGGTTCCGTGTGTGGCTCAGCTTCTGCAGACCCGCCTTCAGGTACACACCTTTGTTATGGAACCTGCTGTTGAACTTTCCTGGTTCTTCTTCACGGGCATGGTGGAAGTCCAAACTGAGCTCAGCATCGATGCCCAGCCCAAAATAGTTGTTCATCTGCACTATCTTTGGTGGTTCCAGGAAGCCGTTCTCCTTGCCGTCCTCAGTGACTTCCTGTGCATCCAGCAGGATGGTCCAGCGGTCCATCTGCACCTCCTCCGCCTCGTCTACAGACACCAGGATGTGGTGGGGGTCCTCTCCGCTGTAGCCCGTCCCCCAGCGCAGGATCCGCGCCAGGTCGTTACCTGTGCCCAGTGGAACAATGCCAATGGGGGGCTCGGGACAGACCAGTTTGTGTCTGATGGCTTCCAGGACACTCAGGACCCAGCCCACCGTCCCATCTCCCCCACACACCAGAACCCGGAAGCGGGGTACCTCCCTAAACGTGTGCAGTCCAGGCAATGGTCCCCCGTTGGTCATGTCAAACACTTGGTGGGGGTTCAGAAGCTTCCGGAAGCCATAGAGAAGCTCTCGGCCCTTCAGCCCGCCGCTCTTGGGGTTGACAAACACCAGTAGGGGCGAGCCACCTTTGGGCAACTTGTTGTGCATAATCTCTGGTATGACTAGGGAGGTCAGCTGCTGGTTGCTGACAGACGTGTCTTTGGCTAACATGTAGATCCTCTCAGCCTCAGAGAAACATGATATCTGCACCACTACTGCACCTTGGCTCCCGTAAACATGTGTGATGGTGACCAAGTGACTCTTGATAGCTAAGTGCTCCTGTAGCAGGTCTGCATATTCCTCCTTGCTCAGCTGTACAGGCAGTCCCTCTAGCAGCAGGTGGACCTGGACAACCTGCTTCCTGCTCTCCACTATGTAGAAACGGGTCTGGTTCATCTGCCTTAGGGAGATCTTCCTTATCTCCTGCAGTTTGTACAGCAGCAGCTCCTGGCCTGTCAGCCCTTGTCTCTGAACTTGCTTACTGCCCATGTAAACCTCCACAAGGTTGAAGCTTGATGGGTCTTCATCCTGTCTTCCCAGTTGAGTGAGGACCTCCTTAATGACAGAATCCACCGTGCTGTTCTTGGAGATGGAGATCGATATGTACGCCACGCCAACCTTGAGCCAGCCGGCGTAAATCTTGAGGACCTCTGTCTCCTGGGGTTTGGCCCTTAGGAGCCACGCCTCGGGCACATTCTCCTTAAAGATGGCCCTTTCGTCGGGGGTGCCGTTACGGTTGAGGATGTCGTTGTGGTGTAGAGCCTGCTGGCCGTTGTCTTGGAGCTCGTAGTCCAGCGAGTCATCTGGGATGTAGAAGGTCCTCAACGCTGACTCCACCACTTCCTCATTCTTGGTTATCCGAGGAATGGAGACCAAACGGAAGTGGCTGCGCTTGACTGCATCGACCCCATCAAACACCTTGAGAACCTGCTTCCCTGAATCCACTGCGGTTGCCGGCTGGCTCTCCTTTGTAGGTGCTGGAATCTGGGTGTCAACTTCGTCCAAGTTATCCAGCTCATTCTGGCAGCTCTCAGAGATGCGGTAGCAGTGCATCTTGCTGAAGTTCCGCGAGCATATTCGCACGCAAGCAGGGTGAAGGAGCATGCTACGTAGCCGTCCTAGGTCACACTCTGGTGGCACGATGACATAACAGGCAGCGTGTGTCGTAATACCACACCACTCACACCGCATTCCCGCCAGGACGTCCGAGGAGCCACAGGTGCGTCGGCAGACCTTACAGCGGGCACCTGAGGGGATGTTTCCCTCCCGCCAGTGGTGGTGAAGCGTATCAATGTCCTGACTCCCATCCTGGTGGCAGAGACGACAGTCACCACAACTGAACGCAGCACAGTCTGAGTGGGCATGCAGCTCACAAACTTCACAGCGAATGGCTGTGTTTCCCTCCAGATGTTTTCGACACACACAGCAGAATCTCTTTTTCTGCCCTGCTGGACCAAAGCAATGGGCGACAGGGACCCGCACCAGCGTCGGGGCCATGCATGAACAGACAGTCCTCACAGTCTTCAGGCACTTCTCATGACACATAAAGTTACACACTTCACAAATGAATCCGATAAGACCCCATATGAAATCACTGCAGTTGTGGCAGAACGTTGGTTTGGTGAGAGTCACTTTCCTAAAACAATGTCCGGGTGCACTGACATGGTACCTTGAGCGAGACCCAGGGGACTGTTGTGCCTTTTTCCTACCGGACAGGGGGCTTGCGCTTGGGCTTTCCATGATAGAATTCTCATTCTTCGTTCGAGTGCTGTTTGCCATCGTATCTGTGCACCACAAGGGTCGTGTATAATGAAAACGTAGCTAGGGTGTTTGAGTGAAAATATGTTTCCGCTGCCAAGCGGCAAAACCAGCGAGCTCCAGCTACGTTATGCCCAACCGCCGTGTCATTACACTTTGGAGCCAGTGGTGCCAGCTGCTGCTGGAGCCATAGCGGTCATGAAGTTAGTGTTTTTCTTTGGCAGCTTTTACACATAATCTGCTAGCTACTTCCGCCCGCAGTTTTCATAGCTGTGCAGCGGTTTTCATCCGCCCTCACAAGGTTGGCCCTCATAGCGCCCAGGCATGATGAGTGAGTGACCGATGGTGCAGCTGTAGAATTTCGATGGTGCAGCTGTAGAATTTTTTGAGGATCTGAGGACCCATGCCAAATCTTTTCAGTCTCCTGAGGGGGAATAGGCTTTGTCGTGCCCTCTTCACGACTGTCTTGGTGTGTTTGGACCATGATAGTTCGTTGGTGATGTGGACACCAAGGAACTTGAAGCTCTCAACCTGTTCCACTACAGCCCCATCGATGAGAATGGGGGCGTGCTCAGTCCTCTTTTTTTCCCCCTGTAGTCCACAATCATCTCCTTTGTCTTGGTCACGTTGAGGGAGAGGTTGTTGTCCTGGCACCACACGGCCAGGTCTCTGACCTCCTCCCTATAGGCTGTCTCATCGTTGTCGGTGATCAGGCCTACCACTGTTGTGTCGTCGGCAAACTTAATGATGGTGTTGGAGTCGTGCCTGGCCATGCAGTCATGGGTGAACAGAGAGTACAGGAGGGGACTGAGCACGCACCCCTGAGGGGCCCCCGTGTTGAGGATCAGTGTGGCAGATGTGTTGTTACCTACCCTTACCACCTGGGGGCGGCCCGTCAGGAAGTCCAGGATCCAGTTGCAGAGGGAGGTGTTTAGTCCCAGGATCCTTAGCTTAGTGATGAGCTTAGAGGGCACTATGGTGTTGAATGCTGAGCTGTAGTCAATGAATAGCATTCTCACGTAGGTGTTCCTCTTGTCCAGGTGGGAAAGGGCAGTGTGGAGTGCAATAGAGATTGCATCATCTGTGGATCTGTTGGGGCGGTATGCATATTGGAGTGGGTCTAGGGTTTCTGGGATAATGCTGTTGATGTGAGCCATGACCAGCCTTTCAAAGCACTTCATGGCTACAGACGTCAGTGCTACGGGTCGGTAGTCATTTAGGCAGGTTCTTAGTGTGTGTGTGTGTGTGTGTGTGTATATGGGTGAGAATTATTTTAAATCCATTTTGAAATCAGGCTGTAAGACAACAAAATGTGGAATAAGTCAAGTGGTATGAAGACTTTCTTATGGCACTGTATCTAAGACAACCTGCAATCTACTGCTACCTGTAAATGTATTCTCTTAACTATTACAAATAATAATATGGTTTGGATATTGATATGTGTTTACCCAGCTGAATTGCGGCTCTGTTTGACTCGTTTGGGATTACGCTAGGCCCTCTGAAAGTCCACATGTGATTCTAACACTCAGTAATGACATTATGTAAGGTGACATAGCCCAATATGAGTATTTTGATTTTGAATGTTCCATCACTTGCTGAAACAAAAGGTATATTGAGGAGCTTTGGTTAAATTGAATGTTGAGTAAGGTTAGAACTAGTAGTATGTGTTGATACACAAAAAAAAAACGATTGTGTAGTTGATCGTATCATGTTTTTGAAATCCAAATGGTTCTATTACTACATTTCTAGATCAATGCAGAGTCTGCTTGCTAAAGAAAGTCAAAATATAGTTGTAAATTATGTTATTGGTGTTGCGAGTCTTTACTTGGTCTGTCTCTTCAGGAATAATGCACCAAAGATGGCCGCCACACACTCCATGCTGCAGGAGCGTATCCAGGTGGCCCAAGAGCTTCTCAAGCGTGTGGACCTGCTCTGTGCGAGGCAGGCGCGCGATGTGGAGGGCCGGGCCAAGCTCTGCAGCAAGCTGCGCGCCGAGCTCAAGTTCCTGACCAAGGTGGAGGCGGGCAAGGTGCTCATCAAGGAGTCCCACCTGCAGAGCACCAACCTCACCCACCTGAAGGTGAGTCTTGTATATATTGTATTTTCCAATGGAATTATATGTTGAAAAGGTTCCTTTAGTTCCAATTTAGGTTCCAATGGACAGTTAGTCCTGCTCTTGCTGTCCATTGTTTTACCCATCTGACAATGAGGACCATATTGGAAATATGTTGGTTGACTTTTTGGTTGTAATCCTCACTGGTTTTTACTGTGTGTGTTGTTGTGTTCACATCAACTCGTATTTGAATTGTGACTCTTTCCAATAAAAACAGGCCATCGTGGAGTCGGCCGAGTCCCTAGAGATGGTGGTGAGCGTGCTGCATGTGTTCGCCTACGAGGACGCCGGCGGCATCAAGCAGACGCTGGTGGTGGATGTGGTGGCCAACGGCGGGCACACCTGGGTCAAGGCCATTGGGCGCAAGGCAGAGGCACTGCACAACATCTGGCAGGGCCGGGGCCAGTACGGAGACAAGAGCGTGGTGGAGCAGGCTGAGGACTTCCTGCAGGCCAGCCGCCAGCAGCCTGTGCAGTACAGCAACCCACACATTATCTTTGCCTTCTACAACGGCGTCTCCAGCCCCATGGCCGACCGCCTGCGGGAGATGGGCATCTCGGTGCGCGGGGACATCGTGGCGGTAAACTTGGTGATGGCGGATGAGGAGGAGGAGGAAGGAAGCGAGGAGGGGGAAGAGAGGGGGGGAGCAAACGAGGGGGGCAAGGAACACTGCTACGAAGAGGAAGAGCGAGAAGGCAAGGCTGCGGAGGAAGATGAAGACGATGAAAACTTTGTCGAAGAAGAAGACGTCGAGCACACGCGAGTGGACCGCGACACCGTCGTGGCTAGCCTGGCCTTCCCCACCGAGGTCAAGGTGGATGTGTGCCGGCGGGCCAACCTGGACATCACAACACTCATCACGTACGTGTCGTCACTGAGCCACGGCCACTGCCGCTTGGCCTTCAAGGAGCAGGTGCTGACTGAGCAGGCAGCCCAGGAGCGGCAAGAGAAGGTCCTCCCCCGCCTCCAGGAGTTCATGGCGGGCAAGGAGCTGTACGCGTGCCAGTCGGCCGTACACGACTTCCGCGTCATCCTGGACACGCTGGGCGGCCCCGGCGAGAAGGCGCGTGCCGACGAGCTGCTGAGGCGGCTGCGAGTGGTGCCCGACCAGCCGTCAGAACGCACGCAGCGTCTCACGTCCAGCTCCAAGGTGAACCCCCGCTCGCTCATGATTTTCGGCACGGGCGACACACTACGGGCAGTCACAATGACGGCCAACAGTGGCTTTGTGAGAGCGGCAGCCAATCAGGGCGTGCGGTACAGCGTGTTCATCCACCAACCGCGTGCCTTGACGGAGGGCAAAGAGTGGAGGGCCACGCCCATATGAGAGAGGGAGAACCAACACCCACAGTGGAAGGAGGAGGAAGAAGACTGATGACGAGGGTGAGGAGTGAAGAAGGGCTCCGACAGCGAAAAAAAAGACTAGACAAGGTTTGTGTAATATACCACTGAACAGACATTTAAAAAGGGTGTGGAATATACCACTAAACAGACATTAAAGGGGTGTGGGTGTGGAATATACCACGGAACAGTAATTAAACGGGTTGGGTGACTGCCAGAACAGAGAACATTTCTGCAAAACAGAGGATGCGTATACATTTTTGTTGTCGTTGAGACACCTCGTATAAATCAAATATTTATCACAGCTTTTTGCTATGTGCCATTTCAATGTGTCACTGCAATGTAAAGGCATTGTGCTCAGTTGGAAAAGCACTACTGGTTTAGTTTAACACTCAGACAGTACAGTGGTGATGGCTGTGTAGCCTACATACTGTATATGCAAAATTAGTTTATGATATGATGAAATATCAGCGTTCTCAGTACCGCTTTGTATTTTAGGGCAATTAAACGGCTTTGGCCCAATGTGCTGAGGGTGAAGTATATTTGTTTTCTGTATTGCAAGTCGGAATTAGATGTAAATAAAGCATCTTTAAAAAAAAAAATGCTATTTATTGAATGAAGCTATTTCATTAGAAAACATTTTGTGTATGGCTCTAAACTGCTATGGCGCTTCTTTGTAACTATTGCAATCATGTTAGGCCAGTGCAGAATTTAATCCAATGAACCTTTTGAAGGCAAAGCCATTATGCAATATTATTGTGTAGTCCTACACATTTTAAGAGTTATGCTGAAAACAAACCTGTTAGATACTTAACCTCTCTTTATTACCAATCACCTAGGCCTACTGGTTAATATAGGACCTACAGTGCATTCAGAAAGTATTCAGACCCCTTCACTTTTTCCACATTTTATTAAGTTACAGCCTTATTCTAAAATGGATTAAATTACATTTTTTCCTCATCAATCTGCACACAATACCCCATAATGGCAAAGCGAAAACAGGTTTAGACATTTTTGCAAATGTATTCATTTTAAAACAGAAATAGCTTATTTACATAATTATTCAGACCCTTTGCTCTGAGATTTGAAATTTAGCTCAGGTGCATCCTGTTTCCATTGATCATCCTTGAGATGTTTCTACAACTTGATTGGAGTCCACCTGTGGTAAATTCAATTGATTGGACATGATTTGGAAAGGCACACACACCTGTCTAAACAAGGTCCCACAGTTGACAGCCATGCGGTCAAAGGAATTGTCCGTAGAGATCCGAGACAGAATTGTGTTGAGGCACAGATCTGGGGAAGGGTACCAAAAAACATTCTGCAGCATTGAAGGGCCCCAAGAAAAGTGGCCTCCATCATTCTTCATTGGAAGAAGTTTAGAACCACCAAGACTCTTCCTAGAGCTGGCAGCCAGCCTAACTGAGCAATCGGGGGAGAAGGGCCTTGGTCAGGGAGGTGACCAAGAATCCTCTGTGGAGATGGGAGAACCTTCCAGAAGGACAACCATCTCTGCAGGACTCCACCAATCAGGCCTTTATGGTAGAGTGGCCAGACAGAAGCCACTCCTCAGTAAAAGACACATGACAACCCGCTTGGAGTTTGCCAAAGGGCACCTAAAGGACTCTCGGACCATGACAAACAAGATTCTCTGGTCTGAAGAAACCAAGATTGAACTCTTTGGCCTGAATGCCAAGCGTCATGTCTGGAGGAAACCAGGCACCGCTTATCACCTGGCCAATACCATCCCTACGGTGAAGCATGGTGGTGGCAGCATCATGCTGTGGGGATATTATTCAGCAGCAGGTACTGGGAGACTAGTCAGGATCGAGGGAAAGATGAACGGAGCAAAGTACAGAGAGATCCTTGATGAAAACCTGCTCCAGAGCACTCAGGACCTCAGACTGTGGGAAAGGTTCACCTTCCAACAGGACAACGACCCTAAGCACACAGCCAAGACAACGCAGGAGTGGCTTCGGGACAATTCTCTGAATGTCCTTGAGTGGCCCAGCCAGAGCCCGGACTTGAACCCGATTCGAAGAGGGAGAGACCTGAAAATAGCTGTGCAGTGACACGCCCCATCCAACCTGACAGGGGTCTGAATACTTTCCGAATGCACCTCAATCTACTTGCTTTTGAGGGGGAAATGTTTTGTCTTGTGTGTCTATATTTTGGGGATATGTTTGGAAAGGGTGCATATTTTTCCCAGGTGGGGTGTCTTTTGGGTCAGGTTGAAATTGTTATTTTGAATACATGGAACAACTCAAGTGCTAATATTGAGACAGCCACTTGTTCAGCTGAGGGGTATACTGCAAAACGGGATCATTGAGTTAGCCAGCAAACTATCCTAAATGGTCTGAAATAACTAACAGGTTTTTTAGAAAGATGACTCAAAATGGGCAACCAAAAACACATATCTAAGTTTAGCTTTCTGGTTGTTAAATCAAAGTTCGCTGGCTAATTCATAAATCCAGCTTTATATTAAATCCATTCAATAATGATGTGGAGGGCCAAGGAAAAATGTGTCATACTGTTATCTGTAGCTACACGAAGCTCTTATATCATTAGTGTATGGCATGTTGTAAAGCAAAACATCTGACGTCATTAGTTGACATCACTACAGTCTGTGGCTCAGTTGGTAGAGCATTTATTTATTTTTTTAACCTTTTTATTTTACTATAAAAACATGGCGCTTGCAACGCCAGGGTTGGGGGGTTGATTCCCACGTGTGACCAGTATGAAAATGTATGCACTCACTGTTGTAAGTCACTCTGGATAAACGCTAGGGCGGCTGCTAAATGACTAGAATGTAAATGTGGAAGGATCATTTAGTTGGGAGCAGTGATGTATATAAACCCTGGATTGCTGATGCTATGTTTTGGCCAATGAGAAGTTTGAAGCCACTGGTCGGCCATATTGGAACTCCCCAGAAGAAGCCTCCATAAGAACGAATGAAATTCTATAGATTCAGAGTGTTTAATAGTCACATTTACAGGGTTGCAGGTTTGATTGCAGGGTACAGTGAAAATCTTAGGCTCCGAGTTCCAACATGCAGGGGTAAGTGAAATCAAATGTTTTTTAACTATATAGATAGCACTATATACAGTATTTCAATTACATGTTTAAGGGACAAAATTACATGTATTGAAGTATTTTTTTGTTGTGGGGATAGTAACAGTGCTTTATAAAAATTATACTTTAAGGAAAATGTTTTTATTTTTCTCACATAATTTAAAAAGTGCATTTAAGGTGTCTAATAGAATAAACGTTTCAAAAACAAATGTAGACAAATGCTTTTATTGCTTTCAAAATATTATTTAGAATGGGTGGGGGAGTGCCAAGATGGAGGTGCGGGGGGGGATTCAAAACATTTCCCCCTCGTCAGTCAAATAGTGGGAGAGGGAAGAAACTATTAGTCTTTTTTTCCCGGGGTTTTTCAACATTACAGCCTACAAAATAATATTATAAAACACTAGCTACATGCGGTGTATCCATGTATACTGGCATCGTCATATTTAGTGGAGAAACTTTGCTGGTGAATGATTTTAGTGATGTTCACAAACCATGGCCACACCCCTGGCCTGTAGTCATCTTTCACCCCAAACACCTGTCTGCCGAGCCGAGGAGCAAAGGATTGTTTTACAAGCAATTTGGAAGAAATGCCCGCATGAGCATAGTCCAAGAAGGTGAACGAAAAAAGCTATAGGCCTATGTGATTTTGATTTATTGGCTTTTATTTTAATTTTTATTCGACGTACGTTTGTGGACAGCTTGGACAGCATCACCGGCCGGGCAGAACACGGCTAGCTAGCTGAACACACTTTTAGCGCTAGCTAGCTCGCTAAATATGATGGACTGACAGAGGGGTTTTTGTATCAAAACTGACTTGAAGAGACTTGGAGAGCCTGTAAGACATATACTGCGGTACAAAACGTAGCATATCCCACAATAGCTACTGGTGCGTCGTGTCGTCTTTTGACCTCCCGATACTTTTGGCGACCAACTAATCCAGTTAGTTACAGTAGCTAACTAACGTCGTTAGCCGAGACAACCGAGCAGCAAGTGTGTTTTACACCGTACACGACACCTTCATTCTGGTAAGCAGGTGCCTCGCTATAACTAGTGAGCTAGCTACGTAAAAGCAGTTTGTTTTTCATGTTGATCAATTATGGCAAATCATAACACTAAAGTACACATTACTAGCTAACTACAGGAATAGCTAGCTAACTAGCCATTTAGAAATGTGTAGCCAATGAATGGATGCTTTTATTAGCTGGCGATGTGGTCATCCCCATGGCTTAGCTAGTAAATAGTAAGCTGATGCACTTGTCAATAGCTAATGTTTTAATCTATTTGATGAAATGACAAAATGTAACATCACGAAGCTTCAGCTAATTGTGGGCAGTACAAATTGTGATGTATGGTTTCCAACCCATATAAATAATAATAATATGCCATTTAGCAGACGCTTTTATCCAAAGCGACTTACAGTCAAGCGTGCATACATTTTTGTGTATGGGTGGTCCCGGGGATCGAACCCACTACCTTGGCGTTACAAGCGCCGTGCTCTACCAGCTGAGCTACAGAGGACCATATTGTTGAACGCATGCACCAACAAACCAGTTGACAGGCTAGATGATAGGATAAGTATTTAGATATTAATATCCTAGACACGTCTGCCTCTTACACTTGGTAAACATACCAACCACACCCATTCCTATATATGCGCATAAGTTACATGATGCCAACTTGTTATACAAATGGCTGGTGATTTGACACTTGTTGTATGTGAAGCTCAGGACGAAGACGTTGTGCGCTCTTCCCATAATGTAATTGTGGTGGTTAGCTAAAATGTCTTGCAAGTGGTGGATCGAAGCTACTCCGTTATGTGGAATCAGATCCACCTTTTTTTTTTAATTCTCTTACCTTTGCATTCATACCCATTCGACTGAAGAGGCAGGTTTCTAATGGATAAGGTCTTTG